AATAACCGAGGATCCACAATGTGATAAAAAGGACTGAATGGACAATGCAGTGCAAGTAGAATCTCAACAAGCAATGTGCATTCTGATACATATAAAATGGTGCTGAATAGCGCAGGGAAGACTTAGATACAAATCCTGACCTGACCGGGACTGACCTCATTCACGTAATACAAGATAGCGAAGCAGAATGCTAGAATGCTAATGACTAGCCCAATCAATGTTTCTACGCAGACCAAACATACATCATGTCCATCACAAGGTGTGAAGGAGCCTGGCGCCGTACACAGGAAGGAAGCGCCAGGTCCAGACATACACAGACGAAGAGGAGGGGATCAGACGAAGAAGAGGGAGAGATGGGAATGTCGTCAACACCGAGTCTTTGTCACAAGTCCCAAATAATCCCTCGTGGCAATGTCTGAAGCCCAAAAGTCGAGTCTGGATCCAATGTCATCAAGCTCTCTCTCTTTCGTCTCTCGTAGTCTGCTGATGCAGTGAAGTCAGATAATGAGAGGGTGAGAGGGAGATGGTGGACTGAGAAGAGGAAGAAGAAGAACTCTCTCTCTGTCACGAGCCAGATACTAACCTGTGAAGTTGGCGCTGTGCTGCAGGTACCTCGAAGACGAAGCTGGAGCAACGGCGCTGCAGGTAGGTACTCCTGGCCTCCGCCCAATCTCTCTCTCTCTGTCTAGTACTATCCTAGCTATGGCGCCCAGCGCTGAAGACTACAGCTACCTACTGGCGCCCAGCGCTGAAGACTAATGCTAACGCTACTACTACTCCTGTGGCGCTCCCTCCAGAGTGCGGCTGCCGAATCCTGAAGACTACTGACTGCCTCCTGCCTGCCCGTGAAGTGCATGGGAAGTCACTATGTACTATCTCGGCCTGCCTCCTGACTGCCTCCGCCTGCCTGCAGTGGCAGGGCGGGCAGTCCAGGAGGCTGCTCTTGCCAATGCCGAACAGAGCCAGGGGCTGGCGCTGCAGCTGTCGTGGGAACAGGCCAAAAATAGCCTGTTCCTAAAACCCTGGTTCGGTGCCCGAGTTTCAGGGCAGGCCGGTCTGATGACAGACCGGAAATGGCCCTTCGTTTCAGGCTAAAATGGCTGCTGCCATTTTTAGTCTGAAACGACACAGGGTCTGTAGGCCCCTGTTTTCCAGGCTTTCGAGCTGACTGGTCACGAGGCCTGTAGGCCCTGGTTTTCAGGCTTTCAGCCTGAGGGACGCAGGGCCTGGAAAATGGCCCTCGTGTGCAGGGGCAGCATGTAACAGAGAGAGAGAGAGAGAGAGAGTTGTGCATGATGAGTTCTAGGTTGAACATAACCCAGCACATGGTGCTGCAGGTTGTTTTTCTGTGATTCTTTGATACCTGGTATCTATATCTGAGACCGTTGCTGGGTCATGTTCAAAGACATTAGTTGCAGGATGGTCACATAAGGGCATGCTGGTCTGGCTGGAAGGTAGTTAGTGCAGGTCAGTGCGCACTGGTGCATGGGGAAAGGATGCCTGTTCCATATGAAGATGTAAGTTACAGGATGGTTGCACAAGCGGGGGTCTTTCCTTTTCACTCCAGTCACTACATAGTTAAGATAGAGATCTCCATGCTGAGTGCAACTGCCTACTCATGTGATTCCTTTGGCTCTATCTATGTTATTAGCTTACTTACTGGAAAACACGTGAGATGGGAGGGCAGGACATGTTTCATGGTGCGATGTTGATACGGTTTCGGTTTTTTCTCGCGGTTTTCTATTTCTCCACGACTGGAGAACTAATCATGTGGTTTTGTTATACTCTGTGAGATTGTTTGGAATCGTTTTGCTGGTCTGTCAATTCTGCTGTTGCGCTGTTCAAGCTGTCCATCAACCGCATTGATTGTTTATTGGGGTGATTGGCTTGGATCAAATGCTTTCATTTCCCACTTTTGCTTGTTTCCACAGTACTTGCATGCTCGTAATTTCCACTATATCTTTTTATAGCAATTTCCACAATCTATAGATGTGCCATGCTGAATAGATGTGCTTGTGCGCCCAGTTTTGTTTCCCATCATCCGTTTTGTTGACCTCATTGTGACCACCGTTATTTTGGTTTGTTGGGTGTAGGCGCGCGCTGTGACAACGGACTGTCCTGGTTTCAGCACGCAGGGTTTGATGGGGTGGATACACATGGCGATCAGTGGGATGAGGCTGCGAACTGTGAAAGTAATTCCTCCATGATCTATCATATCCGCTGTTTGTGTGTGCTCCATGATGACAAGTGCCCGCGATGGTGCCTACCTGCCTGGATGCGCTCAACAAAACCAAATCAATGGGATACATATCTAGAACCCAGAAGGCGTTTTCCTGCAAAGAATACAAGAGCTACCTGACATTGTTATGTTCAGTATGTGGCAGCATGGAAAGAAGAACGGAAATTTATGGACAAGGAAAAGCAGGGGAGGGAGAACGTCATCACACCATTTGCATCTGGGACAAAAAGAAGCAGGGCCGATCTAGATGTAGGAGTCCATCTCATCCAGGTTTCCTCTGGGCTAAATGAGTGTTAAAAAAGAAAAAGAAAATATGTATTTACTTCTCTTCGGATTGGTTAGGAATTTCAAGCTTGGGTCCTTTGGGACGTGTGTTAAAATTGGAACAACAGAGAGAAGATTAGCATGGCCGCTGTTATAGGATGTCACACATATGGGACGTGTGTTAAAATTGGAACAACAGAGAGAAGATTAGCATGGCCGCTGTTATAGGATGTCGCACATAAATCGAGAAATCATCCGTTCTTTTCCCCCCCAAGGAATTTCAAGCTCAGCCTACAGCCTTACCCCCCCCCCCCTTCCCCCCCCGAGTTTTTATACATTACGAGAGTCGTGAAATGGTTTTCACGTTTCTGCAGTTACAGATGCGGGCCCTAGAGTTCGATTCCCAGACCTCACTTTGCCCATGTACAGTATCGAGTCGACCCCCGAGTGTTTGAACCCGTGACCTGTGCTTTGGTAGTTGTTTGTCGGCTGTCGTAGGTCTGTGTAGTGGTAGGGGTTCGATCTGTAGGTCTGTCGATTAGGAGTCACAGCTATGTAGAGGTCGTAGCTGCTACAGTCCCGAAAGGTGAAGGTCGTAGCTGCTACAGTACTCAAAAGGCCAAGTCCACAGACTTCCAGAAGGTCCAGAAGGTGGCCTTTCGAAGTTGTCTCACGTTTGGCTAGAGGCAAGTGTGGTAAGCCCAACTGCCTTACGTCGGCAGTGCGACTGCATCGAGTTGGCAGTGCAAACCCATGCAGTCAGCAGTACCGGTCCCAGTCAGTCAGAGTCCAGTCAAGCAAGTACCGTGTGGGACTGTGTGCACCAAGGGCCTGGGAAAGGGGCAGACCAACGAGTTACGGAAGTATAAATCAAGAAGCAGCGTCCAGCCATTCATTCATTCACTGCGTAAGCCATGCGGGAGCGCTGCTACAGCGTCTTGTGCGAGGTCGTCTGCAGGTCGCCCGAAGTCGAAGTGGACTGAAGAGAGAGACATCGTAGACATAGCATAGTAGCGAGCGGCCATAGCCGCCATAGAGGTAGCTGTTAGTGTGTATGTGTGAGTGATACAGAGTGAGTGCGTGTGGGGTGTTCAGGGAGATCCAGAGTTGAGTGTTGAGCGTGTGTGTGAACGGTGGCAAACACAGTGACGAGAGTTGGGGTGTACAGGCGCTGATGCGCCATAGCCTATTGAGGCGAGTTTTCATCTGAGCTGTGTTTCTGGTTTCCATATCTCTGAGCTTTGAGTGAGCGCCTTGCGCTAGTGTGAATCGCCATCTGTTTGTATGTGTAAGAAGCGAAGAAGAGAGCAAGTCTGATTGCAGTCGCATGTTTGGGCCTGCATGGGTGGAAAGCCGGGCCTGAACAGGCTAGACCCCACCGCCAGCCAGAGGAAGAAATGGGTCTGGAAATTAAAAAAATAGATAAGTATGACTCTGGAAGAGATCTGTGCTTGGTCTGACCATTCAGAATCTGGCCTTATCGTTGGATTTGGTGAGGGTTCACTGTGGGTGGTCTGGGCGGTAGAAGTAGGGTTTAGAGTGCCCTTTAAAGGACTGTATTCAGGTGTGCCATAGTTTCACTTTTGATTTATTTTTTTTTCCTGTTTTTCCTTCTAATTAAATGAATTTCGAAGTGACTCTCTGCCAAGAGTTGTTTCACATTCTTTTGATTTTCATTTTTTCAGCAATTGTACACAACGTATATGTTCTTAATGTTTTACAGTTCACCCCCCCCCCCCCATCTCCTTATAAAGTCCAGATCGTAGTAGAGGCTGATTTTCAGCGTTCTCTTGATTATTTTTTGTTTTGGATCGAGGACGCCTGGGAACTTCCTTGCCCAGACGTGGCCTGACCACCAGCAGGGCTGCCTCTGCCATCCGAGCCACCTATGAATTCAGAGGCTGTCCGGCTGGCTGGACTGGTGGCTAAAGATTTTTCGGAATCGCTTGCAGAGATTTGCCAGAGGAAACCTATTTATGCGTTTGAAATTTCAATTCATACAGGGCTTTGGATATCTTGTATCATGTAATCACCAGTCCTATATCTTTTCTGTGGTCCGAGTATACCCATTCCAAATCTTTTACCCATTCCAAATCTTTTCTGTTTCGATTTACAGCCCTTCCTCAGTATGCAAACATCAGCTGTTGTTACTGCACAGGGATTCGTTTTGGTCTCCAGTACCGGCATCAATGAATCAGAAACATTGCGCAGGAAATGAAAATAGTCAACAATTGATCTTATGCTTACGACTTCTCTTTCGTATTCTGCCTGTTCTGGAGGTCGGTTTATCCTGTGCTAGTTGGGTCTGTTGTTACACAGCAGTGTCCATGCAAACACCTGTGCTAGTATCGAGCATCATATCGTCTTACATCGTACTCGTTAGCCTGGTGGGCTTCGAAAATGACTGTCACAACTTAATGCCGTAGAGAGCAGTTCCAGTCACTGGTTCCTGTACTATGCAAGTTACTGTCTACAATATTTAATCTAGGGTCTTCTTAAACGGACAGTTGAACTTGGAAGCGCAACGAATGCCGGAATGATTGGGCATTGTGATGAAGTTGTGTCATTTGGCTAACAACTGGAAGCCAAGTCTCTGAAATATTAACTGTTTTCCCATGGTGAACCAAATCAGATAATTACTAATTAGGGTATTTCTTGTCAACACTGCATCACAAATGGGATGCATGGGAACATGAACAACCAGCTCGTCGTCATGAGATTGTCATCCACGTGCACAATCAGCTTATCCATCGGCGTAGGCTCATCAGCTCACCCGCACAGGTATGTCCACGAGCATGACACATCTGCACAGATTTCATTCAATACCACATAAAGAGGCACCAGAGCATGTACAGATGGAACTATCATTAGTGTGGAGCAGGTGCATGTGTTGGTGATCACAATGAATGATGCCACTGATGATATGCATAGAGGTAGGGGATAGGAAGGAAGGTTAGCAAAGGTAATGGATGGTAAACAGCAGGTGACTGGCACAATTAGGAGTGCTAGATTGACAGGGTAGTAGAGGAGCGTTTCTGTCAAACTCAGTTGCCAACGCGCATTCTGTGCGAGTCCAAAAGGTAGCATGGGTGCTCTAGCAGGCTTTTCTCTGAGCAAGCAGGTTGTGAGCACGACAAACTTTGCAAGTCAACTCTTTGTGGTATGAATAAGTTCTGTGAATGTTAAATCATATAATAACTATCAGGGTTGCACAGCAGCCAACTGCCGACTGATCCGCAGCCGACAGGTCGACTGCAGTCTACCTGAGTTTTCTGAGAAACTTTTTGGAGGGCTGTCAGGCACATGCTCCAACACCCATAAACAGCTGTGAAAACGATGTCCCTGGGTGTTTGTGTTTGGCGGGGGGGTGGGGAGTGGGTTACGTGGTTGCTGTTGAGAGACAGGTTGGGGGTTATGGGGAAGGTACGGTGTCTTTTGCATGGATGTTTGCAAACTTGTCAGCAGTCATGTCTGCAAAGGCTGCAAAGTTTGAAGTCCTGCAGAGAAGTTGGCGCACAAGTCTTTCTGAATTGCACATGTTTTATGATATATGGAACGGAAGAGTACAATTCCAATGGTTCGACAAGACGAAGAGGAAAAGAACGATGATGTCAACCCCCCAACACATGTTTAGCTCGCATTGTTACGGACTTCGCCAGGGTTCGATCCCTGGACTATCTTTTTGCTGTTTCAGCTGCATCCGGTTTTCGGCCTGGCACCCTTTTTCCAAACCCCTCCTTTGGTACCGCAGGATTTTGGACAACTGGCGCCATGCTGCAATTCGGGCGCCACTTTCTAAAACTGCATTTTTCAGTTCTGCCCTCGGGGCCTTTGCAGAAATGCCCCTAGTACCGTACGTGTCACCGGTACTTATACCGGACCAGTCTCGTACCAGTTCTCTGCTGCTGTACTCGTACTCAGTGTGACTGGCTGTTTTCGGCATTCGGGAATCCAAGACTTGGACTTTGTGCCTTGCCACTGTGTCTGCGTCCGATCCTCAGTCCGCCTCCGTCGTGTGGAGCGAGTGAGTGTGTGTGTGTGCTCTCACTCTCCCCCTCCCTCTCCTCTCCCTCAGCTCACCCTCAACCTCATGCTCGTTACACTGGTATCGGAGCGGTTCGAACCCGCCCGACCCACCCTACTTGGACGACGTCACCGGCCATCATCAACATCATCGTCGAGGTCGTCGTTGCAGTGCCACATCATCATCGTCATCATCGCGATTGTCGTCATTGTGCCCCGTCATCATCGTCATCGACGGGATCGCCGCCGTCGTGCCATGTCATCATCACCGTGCCCATCGTCCTGGTCGGCGCCGCGCCGTCGTTCCCGTCACGC